TTCTTAGTCATCAGAGAAATGCAAATCAAAGCAAGTCTGAGATTTCGTCTACACCTCTAAGAATGGTCAAGATCAAAGACACTAATGACACCTTATGCTGGAGAGGATTGAGGTAAAGGGAACACTTTTGCATTTCTGATGGGAGTGAAAACTGGTACAAAAAATGTGACAATTTCTCAGAAAATTAGGAAACAATCTTCCTCAAGACCCAGCAATACCACTTTTGGGTATATACCCAAAAGATGCTCAATCGTATCACAAGGACATGTGCTCAACTATGTTCATAGCAGCATTGTTTGTCATAACGAGAACCCAGAAACAGCATAAATTCCCTTCACCTGCAGAATGGAAAATGAAAATATAATTTACACAATGGAGTACGATACAGCAGGAAAAAGTGACATCTTGAAATTTGCAGGCAAATGGATGGGTCTAGAAAACATCATATTGAAGTAACCTAGATTCCGAAAGACAAATATTATATGTCCGCACTCATAAGTGGCTTTTAGACATTAAGTAAAGAAAACTAGCCTACATTTCACAATCCCAGAGAACCTAGACAACAATGAGGATCCTAAATCAGACATACATGGATCTAATCTGCATGGGAAGTAGAAAACAACAAGATCTCCTGAGTGAATCAGGAGCATGGGGACCATGGGAGAAGGTTGAAGGGGAGGTGAGAGTAAGGAAGAGGAGTAGAGAAAAATGTATAGCTCAATAAAATCAATAATAAAAAAAATTAAGAAGACAGGGTTTCCTTGTTTAACAGTACTGGCTGTTGTGAAACTGGCTTTGTAGAACAGGCTGGCCTCTGCCTCCTGTGTGCTCAGATTAAAGGTGCAAGCCTCCACACTTAGTTGTGTTTAGCTTAACTTTAAATCAGGGTTATGTAACTTATTCTAGGTCTTTCTCTGCATATTCCCAAATATAGTTTATAGCAAAGATTCTTTCCAAGTCCTTTTAGCCAAGAACACCTCACCTTTCCTTGTTGATGGCCCTTAATATCTGACTAGACTCCTTATCCATCCTCTTCATGAAGTTGACAACAGGTTATCCTGACCTGGCTTCAGCAAGGATCCCATTAAGTCAGTTTGCATGGTATTTCCCTCATTCCTGAGTTGTTCACTAATAGGGTTTTCATTGGCCCATTCCTAAATTTTGCCATAATACATTCTCAGTTGAGCTCAGTCTCATTGCAAAATCTTATTGAGTAAGTTCCCACACCTGTCAAGTTAGTCTTCTTTAAATCACATTTTAATGGCTGTCATTAAAACAAATTTTTATGAACAGTGTTTTACCTATGGATGATAAAACACAAAATGCCAAAATAAGAAACCAGAAAAGAAAGGTTGATAAACTGTAAATCCCTTTCTGCTTCATATTTCTCATTTATGGCTCTGCATTGGTTCAAGAAAATTTCTTTTACTGCATAAATCACCGATGAAATACTACATAGTATGTAAGTTTATTAGAACCAAATCATTCATATTTGCAAGAAATATTTGACTGAGACACTCCTGCAAAAGTTTCAAGCCATCATGATTCTATGTGTGATCATGGGTCCTGCAAGAAACCCAGTAAACCATGAGCTAAAACATCTGAACTGTCAGGGTCTGGTGGCTAGTCCAGATCATAAATCATTTTCTCTGAACCAGACCCCAACATAAACTGTCTCTCTGGATTGGTGTGGATGTACGGAAATAAAGACATAGCTCACCTGGTTTTATTGGGAGGGAGATTCTCAGTGGTTCCTCATGAAGTTCTGAGTTCATATCCTGAAGAATTCCTCTCACTTATTGTCCAAAGAGCTTTTATACCAAAACATGAACTGAGTGGGAAATACACCAGCCTTCTGTCTCCTAGGAAACAAGGTGAATGGCTTTTTGTCACATCCACATCTACCTGTCTGCACTGATGCTAGCTGTCACATAGGCTTGAATCAGTATTTCTATCAGGCATCCTCTAAATTACAAAGAAAGGATCAAACAACATCTTAACTTTTTCTTAGTTAGTGATAGCCTGTCTGGAAGGATACATGACCATTCTCAGATACTGACTATGGCTTTAGAGCCTGGCAGCCACACAATATAGAAATATGGGCCTACAATCCACTCTCTCTTATTAATTTTAATAAATCCTGTGCTTCTGCAACAGGACACAGAATGATCACACCTGGCTTAGGCAAAGACCTCTTCATTTACCCAAATTTTTTCCATCTTTTCCATATGTGAGCTCCTGTCTTAGGCATCTGGGGAGAAGGAGCTTCAAACCTGTCATTGACTGCTGATCTCTGTGAAGAAAAGAGATTAATGGAGAGAGATACCTTTTGGGCTCTGTGTCTTGGAGCCATACTTTCTTGTCAGGATAAATTATAATGCTTTATGAATAATCATGAATTTATGAATAAACAGGAGACTATATTCTCCTGTTTAAAGGAGAAGAGAATCACCTGAGTTGAGAATGCTTCTTCAGCTAGTTTGGTGCAGTTCTTAAATCTTTCGCATTGTATTAAAATGTAAAATTCTTAACATATGCATTAAGCCCCAATATTTACGGGGTATGTGAAACTTTTCTCAGCAGTTGACAGTCAATATCATAATTCTCAGCATTGTTGGTCAATACCAACTTTTCCAAATATCTTTGTCAGTACCATGATTCTTGGCATTGCTGGTCAATACCAGAGTTTCCAAACCTTTGGGTCAGTAACACGAATCTCAGCATTATTGGTCAATACCAGAGTTTCCAAATATCTTCAGGTCAGTACCATGATTTGTGGCATTATTGATCAATACCAACTTTTTTTCTTTTTTTTT